GCGTCTAAGTTATTTAAAGCTCAAGGAGTAGAGGAGAAAAAGAGACACACTCTGCAGGTGTAAGCATGGGGCTCAGAATGCACTCAAGGAATGATTTATGTTATTGACTTACATGCCTTGAAAAAAATGCAACACTTCTGCATAGAAAAGAGAACTGAATTAATAAACAGAGAGGATGAAAACATCTTTATATCTGTAAACCTGACTGAAAAGGCAAACTTCAACGATACTGTTCTACATCAACATGTTAAATTTATTTTTGAGAGAGAGTACATTTGCATTCAAAAAAATAATTTCAGGTGTTAACGAAATCTGGCCCAGTTTAGTACTGCCTTACATAATGGTGGCTTTTAAGAAACAGCTAGTTGAAATGTCCAAATACCATCACAAAAATATTTTCATTATTTTAAACACAGCCAACAGCACAAAGCACATTTACTACCACACAAATCTGTTTGTATTGTTTTCCAGCACAACTATACCCTTTAAAATGTTTGACCCAGGGCCTACCAGGAAAATGAAACAATCTGGTTCCTAATCACAAAGCAGTCCCTCTTGCAGAGTCACCTTACTCTATGGAGGCGCATGCAATAACAATTCAGGCTAATTTCAAATTCACCCCCACGCAGGAACAGCAGCTCTGCTGCTCCTCTCCTTCTCTCTGACAGCCCACACCAAAGCTGCAGCTCGGCTTTACTTATCAGGCATGGCACTGAGATTCTGTCACAGATTCCCTTGAGCTGAGCAAAGCACAACCTTTCTCAAAATTTGCTCATGTTTCTGGAGTGACTTCCAAGCAGAAGGAGTAGTGACAACCCACCACAAAATGAAATCTTGCAGGATAGATGCAAGATTGCAGCCCAGGCAGGTACAACTGTACCAGCCTCTCGCATGTCTTTATGAGAGAAAGCCAAGCACTTTGGGAAGAAACAGGCATGTTTTTTATGATCTACAGGTACCACAACATCCCTCAAGGCCTGAGGATGCAGACATCAGGGAACATCTCTAAAAAATGGAAGGAGAAGCAAATCAGCACATGTGACTGCCCCTGCACAGCAATAATGCTGGGCTGAGGGAGATGGGATTGCCTTCTTGTCTTAGACATGGGGGGTCAGAACTGAGTCTCCAGCTTCCACACAAAGGTGAGTAATCCCTGGGCACCTGCAACACGTCTGGCAGCTCTCTGACTTCTTTGTGAAGTACTGAGAAGTAGGTGGCCCTGATAGTTTGGAAACTGTGCACACCTAGGAGCTATCAACTGTGGCAAAGCAATTATTTTTGCCATGGGTGGTGTCTGAGATGACAGCTCTTCCCTTGGATTTAATTGCAATGTGGTTTCCTAGGTTCCCAAACACCAGTACAGCTTCTAACGACATGCATATGGATTTCTTCTCCAAAAGGAGGAAATGCCTATCCATCCCATGCTCCTCTTTGCCCTGTCAGCCTTGTACATGCCAGTTGATTGCCACTCAGAGGAGGGGAATCTCAGTAGGGAGAAGGGGGCAAATAATGCTGTGCTTCACTGCTTGAGCTCTAAAAACTCTGCCTTTCAATCAGGCCACTGTTTGGCTTAATTCTTTGCACTTCACATGCATTCCTATGCTCAATTACACGTGCTTTGCTTCCAGTGAACTTTTACATGTGGGTTAAAAGGTTTTCACTCTTGATTACTGTGACTGTTTAGTTCCAGAAGTATTTCCTGAGCTTTTTGTTGCATCTCCCCTCTCTGGCTACTTCAGGGTAATAGAGCATCACTTCACAGACTATGGGAACCACTTCCTGCATTCACCCAAGATTTAGTAGAAGTGCCACAGTCTCCCTCTTCCATACAGAGTGGGTTTTAAACACAGACTTAAAGGGGTCAACAAGCAAAGGGCTCTACTGAAAGTGCAACATGAAAAAGATAACAAAGGCTGTCTGGACTGCAAGCAAGAGAGATTCTTTGAAGCCAGGATACTCCAGCCAAGATTTAATAAAACAACAAAAGGAAAGAGAAAAACTAACTGAACCAAGAAAAAAGGGCAGCATCACAAACCCATTGCTCTGACCTGCCAAAAGCACTGAAGAACAAAGAAAATGAAAATATAAGGCTGCTCAAAACAAACAGGAATGAAGTGCAATACAAAGCTATACACAAAGTGCAAGGCACATTAGGGCCAATCCCAAAAGTGTGGGAAAAGTACAGGCTGTGTTTATCTCAGTATCTCCTGTGTGCATTTTTATCCTTTCCCCATCTTTTGATGCATGTGGGCAGTGCAGAGTGGGTGAGGCTGATGTTTCCCTTCCTGAGCCAACAAGGAGCCTCCTGCAGGGCATGGCGAGGACAGACAGCCCTCTGTGCTCCTGGGGACTGTGCTCCTGGAGCTCAGGCTGCAGGGAGCACAAAGACGGGGTGTCACAGCAGTCCTGCACACAGTGACAGCTCATTTGCCAAGCTCACCCATGCTGTGGTGTCTCCAAGTGCTAACACCAAGACCACTGCATACAGCTGCCCAGAACCTCAGCAGGGAAGGTCTTGGGACCAGGCTGCTCACTCTCCTCCTTTTCCAGTCTGCCACAGTGTAAGATTACACAGCCAGGCTCAGGGAGATAAAACAAGCTCGAAGCATTAGAAGCCCTTTGTGGCTGGTACCCACTGTGGACTGCTTGGTTGTTTCCTTATCAGCTTTGAGTCCTGCTTTCATGGACGTCTTGGCCAAACCCCAGAGTCCTCCAGCCTGGTAAACAGCACTGTGGCAGGTAATGTTCCTCATGCTGAGGCTGAAGTAATTAATTCCTATGAACACCTCAGGCTAAAAATCAGGGTGCCAGCTTCTGCTGTGGTTGGTGTGATTGGTCTAACATGACTGGATAAAAGAAAATTAGGGAATAAGGGGGAGAAATAATAACTTCATTGAACAGCAGGTGCCCCAGAGCTTCCATGTAGCAGAGGAGAAGAGAGGGGAGTCAAAATTACCAAATTGGGGATGTTTGCTGATCTCCTTGTTGCTTGCAGAAGAGCAAGCAGATATCTGAAGGATCAGAGAGATGGATCAAATACAAGAGGAAGGACAGATTTCTGGCTGGATCTGATTATGGAAGAATAAATGGGTCTAATTCACACATATCCTTGCTGAGATCCTTTTGCAACATGGATTTTGGGTATTTTCTGTGGGATTTCAGCTGCCAGAGAATCTGTCCCAGCTGTGACATGCCAGGTAAAGTTGTCAGCAGTGACAGGTAAAAGAAAACTCATCTTTTAGTGCCTGAACTTGAGCCAGTTCAATCACAAAGTGGTTGAGGGTGAATAAATGCAGGAGAGCATTACAGTATTTTCACAACCTCTTTTCTGACTATAATTTCACTATTAGGAAGTTTGTTGGCACCTATTGGAGGAATAAGTGCGTAGGGAGGCATATCTCCTTTCTCCTCTTCTGTTGTGTTGAGAAGTAGAATTAAATTATTCTCTGCACAGACAGATTGTTCCAGTAAAATAGAATTTGAAGCCACCAGGGATCCACTGAGAAGGGATGCTTTTACACTATATGAAAAGGCAAGAGACAAAACCCTTGCCAGAACTCCTTCACTCTTTATTACCGACAGCTGCAACGCTGGATGCGTCCGGATGCCTTTTAAGTGCCAAGGGGAGTGACGAAGGTGGGATGGCATGTGAGCAGATGAAATACATGGCAGCTTCTCCCCCGACGGCAAGTTTAATTATTTGCAGTGTTGTATACACAAGAAAAAACTACACAGAGATATTGGGAAATCATTCACTGTGATTCCTGTCGGGTGGATTATGAAAAACACTCGCTCTTGCTGGTCCATGGCAGAACAAGGTCTTAAAATATTCAGAACCTGCTTACGCCTTTGTCACAGATGGGAGAAAAAACAAGGTAGAATATATTTCAAAGACAGAGAACATGAATACATCAAGAGAGCAAAACCAGAGGTGCTTTGCTGTATGAACTGAGATATCCAACAGAAGTGAACCAAAACAAACTTTAAGGCAAAGAAACACCTTCCTCTGTGTAGTTTCATTCCAGAGAACTTTCTAACACATCCCTTCTTGTCCTTTCTGCATTTAAAGCTCATTGGAACAGATTTTTCTGTCTGTTCAGTACTCAACCAACAAACAGCTGCACTTCATTAGTATCAGTTTTCCTAAATCCCTCTGCCCCAGGATCCAGAAGCTTATAGGAGATTTTTGAGTGTGAAGATGTGAAATGCTTTAACTCACTAGGCATAGTTCAAAGCCATAAGTCAGAAATAAATCTTATCAGTGATCCTACAATCTGTGAAGCTACAGAAAAAGAAGATGCAGACAGGTAATCTTCCTGAAGCTGCACTTTAAGGGTTAAATACAACTGAGAAATGACAAGCATGAGCAAGGTTGTCTGGCAAGCCCTGATGGACTTGCTTAAGCTGATGTCTTGTGACTGTCAATAGTTTTTCTGCTTGAATATGAACCTGGCTCCATTCTGGATTAATTTCTCTCTGCTGCTACTAACTTCAGCACTCCTGTGCACGAGGTCTACACGAGGACTGGTAGTTTTGAATTGCAGCAGCAGGAAGAGCTGCCAGCCCAAATCCCAGCTGTGCTAGAGAAACCATGTACTGCCTTTTCTGAATGGCTCAGGGGCAGTCCTGAAGCCTATTCTGTCTTGGATGTTGCAAATGTAATGCTTGTTCATGCAAAAAGATTCTTCCTCTCTGTGTTTATGTAATGCTGGCTGCCCTATTCTTACAGCATACACACCTAATTATGAAGATTGTAATACATCATGTGATGCAATGAGGACAGGAAATGACATGTTTTTCAAAGCACATTTTGTGGCATTCAAGCAGATAACCATATCTTTCCCCTGCACAGTGGGCATAAATAAGTATATTTTATAGAAAATAAAACCAGAGATAGTTGTTGCCTTGCTACTGACCTAGTACCTATATTTGAAAGCCTGAGTCAAACACACAAAAAAAGCTCTGTAAATTACACAAGAAAAGAAAACATTATGACTTGCCTCACAGGGGGAGTTCCTCAAAGGAGCTGGAAATGTCGTGCTGGTCATGACAGTCTTTGCTACTGCTGGTGCCTTGCTGGTGTTAAGGAGGAGTGCACAACCTGGATGGAAGAGAAGGAAGAAGGTCAAACTGCAGCACTCACCTTTGGGTTTCAGGATTTGTGAAACTTGCCCCAAGCCTTTGTTAGCTGGCTCCTACCACGGTGGAATTCCAGGGAGCAGAAGGCTTTTTCCATTTCTTAGGGATGCAGCTTCCCCTACCTAACAAACATACTCAGTAACCACATGAGCCTATCCACCTTCCCCCCACTGCTACCTTCTGTTGCTCTATAACTTTAAACTCATCCTCCTTGAAAGGCAAATAATAAAGTGTATCTTTTATGAACGAAAAGTAACTTGGAAGAAAAGAATTTATCTTGACCAAAACCAAATAAAAATACAGCTACAGCTCTTTGCTGCTTGAATAATTTCTGTAAACACGAGGAACAAGGGCAGTATTGGGTTTTCTCTCAGCAGCTTAAGCCTTCAACTGTTTGTACGAGAAGGATTAGATACTGGCATTTAGGTAGGAGAACCAAGTACATAGTAATTGTACATAAAAGGGCAACTCAAGGGATCTTTGCAACTCATGAAGCAAAGACAAGAAAAATTAGGATGTGAGCAGGGGAAAAAACTAGCAGTACAGAAAAATAGAGAAAATAAATAGGAAAATCAGAAAGAAAGAAACAGATCAGTATGGTAGAGGGTCAGACAGATGAACATTTGGTATAAAATTTTTCATAAGGGGTCATGATCTGTATCTGGTGTCAGTGGTGGAGACTGAGGTACCTCTTTGTATCCCCAAGACAAAAAGGGAGCAGGACAGTCTTTTGCTCAAAGCACTCAGGGTGGAAAGATGGTATTTGAAAGTAGAAGTCTGTGATATGCTTCACTGGTAAACCTGCCTTGTGTTTCATTCCCTCTCCTCACCATGTGTGTATCATTTCTGCTCTCTGCTGCTTGTGCTCTACACTTACTGTTTACTCTCACAAACCTTCTATGGAAGGGAAGCGCTTGTGCTCCAGGCTTCCGATCCGCCATGGAGAAGGATGGGACGCAGAGGAGCCTGGCGTCCAGCCACAATCCCCTTCTTCGAACGAGCAGTAAAAGCCAGAGGGAAGCTTTCCTGCAAGAGGGAAAGGCACACAGACAGAAGAAGGCAGTGAGCTGAGGAGGAGGCTCCTGGGCTCACACAGGAGCTGCAGTGACTGTTCCAAACAGGGCACTCCCAGCTCCTCAATCCTTTCGCGTGGAATCGCGCACGTGCCTGACCACGGGGAGGGAGGAGCAGAGGGCAGCAACCCCCAGATCGTGGCTAAGTGACTCCCCACACACCTTGACAAAACTCAGCGAGAGGACACATCTCACTACACACCATGGGGTCTCCTAAATGCCTGGGCTCTCACTCTGCAGGTATCAGCTCGCTCAAGGTCACATCTTGGAGATGCTTCTGCAGCCCCACAGGGGGAAATCTGGGAGAGGGATAAATTCTCTACAAGATTCCCTCCCTTACAGTCCAGGTTTCTACACAGCCCAGCTGAGCAACATGATCTCTTCTCTCTGTGAGCACTGATGTGGCCTCAGGTAAAACACTGAATCCTTTTGTGCCTCACTTTTTTCACCTGTGAGTCTCTTCCGTGAGATGATAGTTTATTTTAATCCATACTTCCAGGCTTTGAAGCCCACTCATTCTGTCTCTAGTTTAGGATTTCACTTCCAGCTCCAAACAATAAGAGCTCTATTAGCTTTTTGCCTTGAAATTTGCCAGTTTTATAGCAATAGTAGTCCCATTCAAAGCAGAAGGTTATCTCATGCCTTCTATTTATTAATCTACCTACAGCTCCAAGTTCTGCTTACAGGGGGTGCAAAGTATTGCTCCTTTTGCTCCAAGAAAGGAGAATGACACATGAAATCTGTTAAAAATTGAAAGATAAAAATGAAATTTCATGTGCAAACACATATCCAGGATATTTTTTTTTTATTTTTAGCTGCTTGATAAAATCAGAATAAAAATTTCTTCACCTTTTGCTCCAAGAAAGGAGAATGACACATGAAATCTGTTAAAAATTGATTTTTTTTTTTAACTGCTTGATAAAATCAGAATAAAAATTTATTCATTTACAAGCAGTAGGATAGACCACGAACTTCTAAAGCAAGAGAATCTTCTGGTCAAATGATACCAGTAATTTCATTAACTCCTCTATGAGAAGAAGAGGCTCTTGAACACATAATTTGTTGTGATTATTCATTTTTTTTTCCCCTTAAATTATATATCTACAGAAAGGCTGTCAGACAATGAGGCACCAGTATTCAAGCTTCAGATAATTCAAAATGTTTAAGTACCAGCAGATCCCTCTAGCTGAGATTTCAGATCTATAAAATACCTGCTCAGGTATTTTATAGATCTGAAATATAATACAGGATCCAAACTTTGACTCACACACCTCAAAAGGCAATTGACTGTCATTGGCACATGCAGGTGGTTCCTTGGTGTACCCAGAGAAAACAGCTGTGGAACACCACAAATGCAGCATCTAGACCACAAACATTTGATTTTATGAGACCCTGAATCACAACTCACTTGTCAGAGGAAAGTGAAACAAATCCTCTATCTGTATCTTTTCAGGAGGGCTAGTTTTAGACCTGGAACCTGACATTGAAGAAAGAGCCACATTTTAGTGGTATTTTGGGCAACCATCTAAACCTGTTATGAAAAAATCAAAACCTGCACTGAAGTTAGGGCTTTTTCAAGTTTTTCCTTTTAAAAACCTCTAAATTCATTCAGCCCTAGTCTTTAAATGTGAAGCTGTTAAGCAGAGAGTTACTTCCCTGTGTTTCACCCCTCTGCAGAACTTGATTATATTTCATTGCGCAGCCTGAGGCTGGGATACAAAGAAAATGACAAATTATAATGTGCCCTGAATTCCCACAGAAACAGCTTGGCTCGGTGTCCAACTGAATTCATGTCATGGCCATTTGCTATCTAGGATGATGTAAACAAGTCAGAGCAGCAGGAGGAGTCATCTAAGTAGCAATCCCTGCCTGAAGGCCAGGAAAAGCTCACTGTCGATGAACGAGTAAGGGCATAAATAAAAAGCTATTACTTTCACAGAATATTTCATTCCCTTTCCCCAAATTAATGTTTTATGAGTTTTCAGATGTCTCATGCCCTGGGTGCATTTTCTTTGCTGCTCTTTCTTACCTTGAATATGTACAGCACCTGTGATTCCATGTGTTGGCACTCCACAGAGACCTCTTTGGGTACCACTTCTCTCCAGCCTGTACTTCTCCATTTCATGTGTTTGTGACTCAAACTCACATTAGCACAGACACTGCACTGATGAGGGGAAGCTGCTCTGGCTTTATTGGAAAATCATGGAAATTAGAGGGCAGGAATTACTTCTACTGAAACCTGCCATTTTGGATATTAATGCCAGTGACAGAAACCTCAGAAGATTTAGGCCTTAGTAAGATTAACATACAACTTGTAGGTATGAGATGGAGAACAGAGTAGTCCAGTGAAACTGAAGCACCCTGAGAATGCAAGAGTCTCTCCTTTTATGTGGGTGGGCAAGCAGGGAAAAGCTGTTGGATGCTAAACTTGTTCTTTACCCTTCAGAATTAAATACCTTTTAAGAAAAATCTAAATAAGTTCTTTTTCTTTTGCCAGATTTTTCATCCATTAATAGTAGAGAATTAGTAACTGATACAATTTATGAAGCAGATGAAGTCATCTCTTGCTTCAAAACTAGGTGTAAGTTAACCAGATACTAAAGTTTAAACTTCTGGGTGAAATTCCAAACTGGTATTATAAAGAAAAAAATCATTAAAGACCACTCTATGTATGGACCTTTACCAAGTTTAGGAGGAAATTTCAGAAGCCAAACAGATCAGCTACTCAATTTAAAGAATCACATGAATCTTAAACATGAGTTTGTTTCAATTATTCTTCTATGCTAGCAAAGTTGGCCAGACAATTTCTACCAGGAATGAAGCATAAAAAGAGAAAATACTTTTCAACAGCCAGCAGAGTTATCCTTTAATGGCAGATGGCTTTGCTGAGCTCAAAACTGCCAGAGGTTAGAATTCATTTCTATAAGTACAGCTTTTGATAAAGAAAGAAGCAGAAGGATTAGTGCATGCAAGACAGGAACCTTAAGAGCATAGCATAGCCTGGCAACAGGTGGCTACATCATCATTTTGCTTGCAGGAAGACTCTGCTGGGCTGTATCCAGATAAAAATGAATCCCACGATTTCTTCACACATTTTTGCCTGGAAAGCAAACTGGCCGCTGCAACATTGATTATCAATGCTTTTTTTGATCACTCATCCACATTATCAGAAAATCAAACTTTAAAGGTTCCTGTTCTAGCTGCCATCTGGCCTTTGGACTGATGTGTGCATGCAGTCCTCCCACCACAGGCTGAGCCCCTCCTTTCAGGAACCAGACACTTGTCTTCCTTATCTCACCTGCTGAGGTGCTTCACATCCTTAAATATTCAATGAAGCAGAGTGAAAATTACCCTATAACTGAGTGATTATGAGATTTATTTGAAAGACAAAGAGGACATTACTTCCTGTTCCAGCTAAAATTCATAAAACATGGAAGTGCAACCTCAGGAGAGACTTGGGTAATCATTTTCTTCTGAACTAGACCAGAACTCCAGACCACAAGCTTGGAAACTCTTTATGTAAATAGAAAATATGGGTTCAAATTCACAGAATAACCAGTTCTGGGTTAATTGTAACCTGAGTGATTCTTATAAGTTCTGGGTCTCTAGATAATAAATATACTACTGGCACCTCCATTATTTGAAATGTTACCATTTTTAGAATATATCAATTACTTGCCTAACATGCTTGGACTGATTAGCCAATATTTTCCAAGGATGAATCTTTTTTTCTGAATATGTCACAGAAAGTAAAATAGTTTTGGACTAAATAGATTTACATGCATCCCTTTTCAGTAAAGATTTGGCTTTTGCCCTGACTTGCTGCCCTGCAATGAAAGATCATTTAACCAAAATTCCAGACACTCTTAATTAAAAAGAGAAGTACAAAACTGCTAAAAGAAATTCACCCTTTCTGTAAAACAGAGCTCCACCCATCTATGTTAGTAAATAATTTGAGGTTTTGTGTCTGTCTTGTACCACACAATGTATATTATATGTGTTTACTACAAGAAGAGAAAATTTGTTGGGTTTTTTTGCAGAAAGTTCTATCCATTTGTTGAGTGATTTGGTAAACTACTTATATGGAATTTGTTGCTTAGCATTAACAGATAAATTTGCTGAAGCTTAGGGCACAAGCTGTGAACTTTCACCAGATATGCTGAACTTTCCACTCAGTCAAATATGAGAAAACCCTAGAGCTGGTTCAAGACAGAAGATAAGGGCTTCATTAACAGAAGCTGCAACCTTGGAAATAAGAAACATCCTACCTAGAGGCAAGCAAGGGACACAATGATGAATGGGAAGAGTTCCCAGAGCCTCATATGGGGACAACTGGTCCAAACAGCCACATGAAGGCTGGGGAATTCAGATTGTTTGAGTACAATCAACCAGGGACTTATTCAAGGTTGCTCTTCAGAGGCACCCAGCTCCAGCTATTACACTATTAAAAAAAAGTACTTTTATAGAGGAATATATATTTCATGAATTCAGCAGAAACCTTGGGTCACAGCCTGCCATGGCTGCCACGTGCAGTTTCTGCATCTGGAAAGGCATGAATTTACCAGCAGAGACACCCCACCAGTGCTATCTGAAATAATAATGTGTGTCTGCAGTGTATGCTATGCAAAATCATTTCTAGTGTGGCACTTCCATCAGGCTGGTGAATCTGTGTGTCTGATCCTGAATCAACAAACACGTGCAGCTCATCCCTCTCATCCCTCATCTCCCTCTTTGAAGCTGTCTTTTACTCCTGCAAGGATATCTGATTATGACTCAAACATGCTTTTCTCTAGGGGTCATTCCTCTCTGGTTTTACAATTTCTACACAGACTAATTGGTTGCAAGGCAGAACAAGCACCATGACGTTTCATTGGCCATTAATAAGTAAAGAGATGTTAGCAAACAGCAGGCTGTAGAGAGATCTTTTTCAGCTAAGACAGGAACAAAATTCAAATTATTAGGGAAAAAAAATTAAAATCATAATAAAACCAATCAGTTTTATTGTAAAGCCTGTAAAGCTGAAAGACTGTGAAAGGCAAAAAAACCAACACCTCCTTGAAGCTCAAAGATAGAAACCTTTGATAATGGCATTTTTAAAACATCTCGCCTCAGTTTTGAGCATAGCTCATCTTTTTTCTGACAGCTCTTTTGTCTAAGCACAACCATTTGGGAAACCCTTTTCTCTGCTTGATAAATCTGAATCACTTTTTACCACACTTGCAAAAAGCTGATGAAAATATCCGTGTTGCTCAGGAGTAAAATGACAACTAAAATGCTGAAAGATGACATATGTTTTGTGTTAGGCTGCCACTCAGATATATCTGACACCTCAAACATTAGATCACTTCTCTGTTTTGTGCAAGAAACCTTATGCCAACAATATTCAGCACTGTAAAGAAGCAAAAGCAGAAGGATCAGCCACAGAACTGAGCAGGCTTGTGGGTGGATAAGCAGGCATATCCACAGCCTGGGCTCCTGCTCAGGCAAGCCATGCTTTTTTGTTCCTGGAGTGGAAGACAGAGCTTTTTATACCTTTTGGCTGGAAGTAAGAACTCTCATTTCCAGAACCTATGGGTGAATGCAAGGCATGTGGTCTCCTCAAGCTGGGAGTGCTGCTCTGCTAAACAGCTGGCTAAATATCTTCTGCTTTTTACATTTTCTCACCAACACTCTCAGTACATTCCTTTGCCAACACAGCTGCAAGTGCCATGTTGCCTTGTGGAAAGAGCTACAGATGAATGGAGGGAGAAAAGACAACCAAACCAAGACCTGTGGACAGCACATGCCAGAGAGCCATTGGCTGCTTTTCCACTGGGCTCACCATGCCTACAGGATGGCAGCAAGGGGCAAAAGCAGAGCCACCCTCCTGATATGTGAATACGAACAACAGACCTGCCACCAGTGTACCCAGGCTCTGAAAATACCAGGCAAGCATGTTCCTCCAGGCCTGCCCCATCCCAAGTGATATTTATTTAACATCCATGATCAGTACAACTGCACCTTCTGACCTCTGCCCTTCTCCCTGGGATTACTCCCACAAGGCAGAGCCATTTATGGCACATGGGCACCATGTGTCTGAGCATACAGTTGAGGGTAAATAATGTTTCTCTACTTACAATGAAAGGAAAATGCATTCGACCTTTTTTAAATTATAGAGTAGAACACAACAGAAATGCCATTATGATGTTTTAGAGTTCCATTTTAAATGTCTTAGATGGAAATAAGGTTTCAATATTACTAATATGAAGCATTATTGGTTCTAAGAAGCTGCAAGTCCACAGTGCTGACACCGTTCCTGTGAATTTAATGTCCACTGAGTGGGTCATTAAAGAATATAATTTCAAATTGTAACAATACCTAAAATGATGGAGAAGCTTGTAATTTTAAGCTTTTAACTAGTTTCCTAGATGATCCCAGGTCAAACCAATGTTCTTCACATTGGTTCAAAGTCCGTAACTTTATTTCTTTATTAGCAGAAGTGAAATCTTCTATAAGTTGGATATCACTCACGTTAAGTTCTTGCTAGAAACACAAAACATGTTTTTACATACCAAATCAATCCAGTTCTATTGTAACAGCCCACAGGCTAGATCATCTGTGGCACATACACTTCGAATAATAAACTCTCAATATTTGTTTTTCTTGATATATTTGCCCTGTAGACAACGATACAGCTGACAATCCACCACTCCTAACTATTTGCAGGCTGACAGATGGGAGGATGCTGGAGGTGGAATGTACAGAGGTATAGAAAAATGATAAGGCACCTTCAAGACGGTCAAAGGAAGGTCCTAAACTGTCCGAGTTCCACAGCACATTTTTGAAAGTACTCAGGCACAGCAAGTTCTTGGAAAACTCGGGCTGCTATCTATCTTCTGCTGTATGTTATTGGACTATTGACTCCTGAAGAGAGGGTAGAAATCCAGAGGAATTACAAAGACACAGGAGGTGGTCAAAGACAAGCTACTGGCTCTACTCATTTTTCATCTTAGAAGTTTTCTCCTTCCTCTCTCCCCCTGCCACATGCTGCACTACATTTTGATTAAAGGCTCTAACCAACTACACATTTCATAATTCTGTAAGGCACCTAGCTATTTCAGGCTATACTTCCTTTGCATTTTTGATCAGGACACTGGAAGGGATGAAGCACCGAGAGCATGTTAAGAAGCTGCTGCAGAACTGATGTAGGTGAGCCCAGAAATATCAAATAGTGCACTCCAGGCAGGCATCCAGGAAATGGCATCTGCTATGGGGGATACAGGTCTTTTGATAGCACCAAATGAGTCTGTTAGTGAAGTCTCAGACATTAAAGTTCAAACCAATCAATGCTTCTGGAAAAGGATGGTACAACCTGGGAGTTAGGATTTACTCACTGCACATATCTCCCTCATCTTCTCCCTCAGCACAGTCCTGGATGAAGTCACACGCCTGCCCCAGCCTGATCACTGTTCCATTCCAGCAGCTGAAGGAGCCCTCCAGAGCCATTTTTGAGAGAGCGGCAGATCCTAGAGAAAAAGAAGAAAAACAACAAAAGCACTTCAGATAACCAAATTACCTTTCTTTCAACCAATGGGTTACAGCATACTGCATAACACTGAAGAGACGAAATCTTCTCAATTCGTTCTCAATTCAATACTTACTTGATAATTTTTTGACCTATTTAATCTTGTCAAATGTCTAATAGTCCACCTAATAGAGAATTTCAGTTCCTCAGGCCTTTCAGGTGCTATAATATGGAAGGCAGCTTTGATCTCTGGAGGGCTTAAATCCTGCATCCTGCTCTGGTATTTCTCAAGAACAATGCAATACACGTGATAGGTTTTTAATTGTGTGTGAATTTACTGCTGCACTGACAGTCCTGAAAGCTGATATCCTCTCTGTCTAGCTCAGGAGTAAACATGGCTACAGGACTTAAAAAGAGCACAAGCTTTCATCATGCTCTTTTGGCAACATGCATTGCCTTTGCTTTGGATGAGTTGTGTTGTCATAGTCTCTGCAGGGGAGAAAACAGTTCAGCCTCTTCTGGTAATTTTTTTTCTCTTCTATGCCTACTCCTGCTCCTGCACTTCCATGAGCTCACACGGACTACATCCACCAAGAGACAGAAGGCACCAGTTCATTTTACCTGTGCTAAGCAGCAAAAGACATCCAGCAATGTGCAAAGGAGACAGCTCTTATGAAATGAGGTCATCACACATTACAATTAGAGGTCAATATCATCCACTCAGAAATGACCCTGAGCAATTTTCTCTAAGAACCATCCTTTTCTGGAGGTACTTGATTCCCTTGATGGCTGAGAAGTCAGATATCAAGTAGCCTGACAGGTATCACTTTCCTTACTGAAGGAATTCTCTCATCCCAAGTTCTTTGAGATGATACTTAGGACAAGGCCTTCCTTTTTTTTTTAAATCTTTCTTTTTAAAGAGGCCCAAGCTCTAGATCAGACACATGAAGGAGGCAGGAATTATTTCAGTAACATCCTGGAGTCAGCATGTGTGGAGGAATCTAAACTTGAGAAACACCAGTTCCTTCCACAAAAATCTGACAGTGGATGCAGTTCACTGACACCTTCCTGAGTGTGCCAAGACATGCTTCCAGTCACTGCTGGAAGACAAGCCTGGAAGAACAAAGAGATCTGTGCTGTGAATTCCCCACTGCAGCAATAACTGCCCTGTCTCATATTAAATGGATAAATGCTCCAGATTAAACCAAGGCCTCTGGGCAGAGGGAGCCATTGTTTGCCTAACTCATCTGTGCTCACTAAACAGTGCAGCTACATCATGTTCTCTGGTACTACAGGGAGTTGGAAATCACTGGCGATTCAATTAGATATGCACTTGATATTTTTATTTATATTGCCTGCCAAAACTAAAAATTAATGAAGCATGTAGGAAAACAACCACTATTTCTCTTCCAGCTTATTTTATGGTGCAAATCATTCAGGAGTGGGGGGAATACATGCCAAACTTTATTAATAAAGGACGATATATCCTCAAAAAGGTGCTCTGTGTTATTGTCAGGTCGATTTTTTCCCTTCCTTAGACCAATTCTGGCTTGTCACATACAGGCTGCACAATGCCCTTGTATTCCGGTCTGGGTCAAGGCATGACTACAGAGGAAAAGCTTTGCAGGAAAAATAGACTAAGTAACTTGTAGCTGGCTGCTGACAATTTCTGTGGGCTCTTTGATGAGGGTTTAAGGAAGTGAGACGGCATCTTCCTTGGCTTTGCTGAACTTCCTACAAAAAATGCACCCTCAGAGACACCACTGAGAGCCTTCCCTATGTGCACTGTGCAAAACTTCTCAAGTGAGAAGTGCACTGTTTAGTGACCTGAGCCCCAAGCCAGACACTTGGGGCTCAGGTCATGTGCAAATAGGCATCTTCCTTGGCTTTGCTGAACTTCCTACAAAAAATGCACCCTCAGAGACACTGCTGAGAGCCTTCCCTCTGTGTGGTGCAAAACTTCTCAAGTGCCACAAGCTAGACTCTTGGGGCTCAGGTCATGTGCAAATGGGCACTACAAAGCTGTGAGAAGGGACTCTGGTAACTCAGTAGGTGATCCCTTCTCCTAGGGGTATGCAGGGAGCCTGAATATCACCCTGTTGTTGGAAGTACCACCCAAAGCAAAGAAAAGTTAGGAGACATGTCCCAGAGCACTTCCATGAGTCAGCAACATCATGACACTCTTAAAAGATCCTGAAGTTCTACTGAAATTCAGAAGTACTCTTATCTCTCTGAATTAGCCCACAGATGGTTTTGAAGCCCATGTTTAGCACCAGCTTTCATGTCCCTCTCAGTTTATCTGCAATCTTTTCAGCAATGTCCGTGTTTTACTTCAGCAGCTGCAGAGACACACAAGGATTCAGAAGAGTGGTAATTGTAGGCAATGGGGTTGTTCTGTTTACTCAATTAATTATAACTTTTTAGAGGCACTCACTTTTCCAAGCACACAACTGCATTAACACTAATTATAATGGAACCAAGGCATTCAAGAGAACCTACTTGTCTTCCCAGGTGTTTTTTGTTGCAGCCTAGGGGCACAAATCTCCCAAAGCCAACTGACTGTAGTATTTGAAATATGTCAGTTGCAACTGGGAATCAGGCAATTCCAGGAGCTATTCCTCCAAAACAAAGCAGCAGATTTACATGCTCATTCATCTCTGTGGAGACGGGGCTTGAATTAGCTCAGATTTGCATTAGACCAATATATACGTGCTCCTTGTATAGGTTAGAGAACACAAATAGCAAAGCTGCAGCCCAGGGAATGGCTGGGCTCTCTTACAGTGCATGATTTATTCCCATCTTGTTTGCTTGCTTACTGTGAGCACAAAGGCAAAATGAACTGGAGAAAAGAGACGATTAACTAGTAAAATAAACAGATAACCAAAAAAAGCCCAAATACAAATAATCCTTTTAATGGGCCACTTCATGCAGATGTTTGCATCCAAGCTCAAGGAAACTCAAATTTTAATTAAAATACTTTGCAAGAAAAACAGACGTTTGATCTTTTCAGTTCCCAGACCCAATTACTCCTGGCAAAGTGAACCAATATGACCTGGATCGCTGAAGTGGCCTCAACTCACACACAGAAGATGTGTTAGGAAAGGAAAATGAATAGTATCAAATAAGTATCAGAGTAAAATTTGTGGGAGACATCCTTTATATTTACAGCAGTGTTTATGTAGCCAGTGGCATCCATAAATTACAGCAGTAATTAAGCTGTACCACGGCTGGCTTGGAGGCTTATAAATCATTATTTAAACAGCATTAAATAAATGGCATTTCAGGCTCTAAACTGAAAGTAGAAAAGCAGAAACAACTCACTGGGGAACAAGAGCTGACTTTGTACCTCACAGGTCCTGCTTCTCAACACACTCCAGCCCTGGCAGTGTTCAAATCCAGTACCAGACCCTGGACTGAAAGGACAGCCAGGAATCTTTACTACCCATGCTTTTGGACTTGCTTTCCATTTCCTCTACCAGGATGGAAAGAGGAAAATCATGTGGCTTAGCTTATGCAGGATCAGCAGCTTTCTGCTCGCACTGTGGGACCCAAGGGGATGTATTACAATTCTCAACAGATTTTCTCTGACCTGGGTTTCCTCTTCTCTGCTTCCCTGTCCCTTGACCAGCTGAGAAATCACAGTGTGTTGGCAAGCTCTGGTGAGTCTGTCTCTGAGGAACCTGGCCAGAAAGATCTTGGTGTTTGATCACTGCAAAAGGGGAAACTTCGCCTTCCTGCCACCACACTTGGCCAGGTGGAATGGAGAAGAAATTCTTGAAGGCATCCGTAAAAATATATCTTATCTGGCAAACAGGCTATGCTGCTAATTATCATGTAGGGTTTAATGAATCTGAACATAATTATACCTTCACATGCTACATTCAACTTCTTAGAGCATATTTTTTAATTCTACCAAAAGGTTTTGGGACAAACACAGTCAGGTGAAGCACTGCTGCTGAGCACACATTAAAACAAAAGAGCTTAATAGGACAGTACTTGGTTGCTGTTTAAAACTTATCTTGTTTGTACTCTGCAAAAATTCCAAAGACCTGGAATAAATGTACAGCCTTGTCACATTTTACCAGTGAACAGCTTCTCTCTGGGCTATCCTTGAGGAGTACATAGTTGAGTTGTACACAGTTGTATGAGTTTATTTCAGTGGTTCTCAAGGCAAGACCCTATATGCCCACAATGTGAAAAATTTCCATTTTTAATAGCATATATGTAGCAAAAAATATCTACCCATGGAAATCCACCTTGTTTATCTAACCATATGTGTTTATCTCTCAGAACAGAAAGTTTCCTACTATTTGATTACATCTCTAAAAAAATGTTTTCCAATGGGCTAGTGCTGCAGCTTAGTGCCTCCACCAAATGTCACTAAAAATCTGGGATTGTACAACCTTGATGACGTGTGTCTGTCACAAGTATTTGTCATTAACTTCTCAATTCCTCCTGTCCCTCCTTTGGCTTGAGTTCAAAGCTTTCACTCAGATATTTACAAAAACATTACTTGGGTGATTGAAAGGTTGTGTGAAACAGAAGAGCTGCTGTCTAGCTATAAAAGGATAGTGAGAACTTGGGGGAGTTTCTGATTATTGATTTTTCCATGACTTGCCATTTCTGATGGCCACATATTTCCTCACTCTTTATCTCCAGTCCTCCAGCAGCACAGACATTCAGAGGCTGTTGGCTCGCTTTGTGCTGAGGATAGCCATATTACAGGACAAAGTAAATTTGATATTTATGCAAGTTACTAATACCCACGCTTTCACCATTAGATAAGTTGGAAGCTGTGAAATAAAGGAGGAAAGAAAGTGAGCAAATTGAAAGATAAATTCATGTTTGAGGGGAGCAAAGCAATCCTTGGCAAATGGCCATTGAACTCCACATGATACAGGGCAGATCACATAAATCACAACTTTCACAGGAAGCTACACTGCTCTCATTTTCCAGCCACCCACCCCAGGACACCTGTATACAGATCAGCAAGGAACCCGA